GCTACTGCCAAAGGATAGGGTGCTCTGAGTAGACTAAAAACTCTTGCTCATCCTTCTTGCAAGCAGCTGTGGTCACAGCCCCTTGTTCTGGCACAAGCAGGAGCACCATGTCTTCTCCTGCACAGCCCTGCCACCTCCCTCAACAGCACTCATCCACGGGACAGTGAAATTCTGGATTTTATTTGCTTCTGGGTCAGCTCTATTTCCTGCATTATTCTGGATTCAGATGTTTCACTGGTATTTGTGTGGTATAAATTGGTATGCAGGGTAATGTCCCATTAGTTATCCTGAAATATAACGCTGCTCAGATCTGAGAGTATTGGGATGTTTTTGACAGACATTAAGGCTGCCATCCCTTGGATGCTTTTTTAGTCTTTTTCCTGTTTTCTCAAAAGATCCTCCACTCAACTGACCCACCAGAATCTTCCCCTCAGTTTTTCTCTTTACGCTTGAGCTCCCATCCTGAGATAAGGATTCATTATGCTGCATGTTGTTGTCCCACGGTCCTGAGATTTCCTCTCCCCCAATAAACTCATACTTTAAATGGAGAAGAAGGAAAAGGGTAGGGGATCAAGTCAAGCAACAGAAAAATAAGCTGGTTGTCTCTGTATTGGGAGCTTTATTGTTAATTTGACATACCCAAGGCTCCAGTATAACAGTGCCTGGCATAGAGAAGTGCCTGCAAAATGAATGTAGTGTACCCTCAGACAACAGAAAATCTGTCCTGTATAATGGAAGGCACATAAAACTAGAAAGAATCAATTCAAATAGCCCCACAGAGTGCAAGATGGACTGAGACAACCTGCATGGATATACAAGGGATAAACTTCATGCCAGCTAACCCAGGCAATTTCACTGAATTATTTTACCAGAAGTACAGTCACTGCTGAATAAATTCTCAATAAAAACAAAATTTAGCAAAAATAACCTAAATCTGTGGTGGCAAACAGAAGCAGAGTCCTTGACTAGGTTTCTGAGGAGTCAGAAAAACAATTTCTGAAGTCTAATCTCTCTTATTTTAATTAATTCCTTCTTCTAAACTACCAAACTGTAACATAAAAATAGCTCAGATTATACTCTAGGGCAGTTGTTTATACGCATATTTACCAATTCTCCAGTGAGCAGATTTCTGAAGCAGATCACTCACTGCTTAATATTCTCTGCGAAAGGAACACAGAAATCTATGCACAGTGAAAGCACCCATGCTCTTCAGGGGTAAAAGATAAGGGTTGTAATAGTCAAATCAGAAGCAAAATCTGAAGAGATGTAAAATACTCATCATGTCTATTGATTTTAAGCTGCCTGAAAGCATCTCCTGGGAATGTTTCTCTAGATATTATCTCTGTAATCATAGTATTCTCAATTGGAAATTCAACTGCTCTGTAGCAGAGCATTCGTATTGTAAACACATAAAACCATTGAACTGATAAATGCAGTGCTAGCAGAGATCAAATGACAAATTCATTAGCTGCATCAGGTTCTGAAAGATAGGACTGTTTTTTTCAATGACATTTCTTCCATTTCTGACTCCAGTCATTGGCAGTACTAATATGGTGCCTGGTTCTGTTCTCCCACAAATACCAATTACTGAAGGGAGTGACATCTTGAAGGGCTGAGATCCGTTGTTAGAATATACCTATTTACAATCTCAGTGTGAAAAATCAATTTAGGAAAAAAGACATTTAGGAACATGGACATTTGGGGACTGCTTTTACAGGCAACCCTATACTCTATCTTCTAAGTGGTTCTCTATCTGCTACTCTTATTGAAAACTGTTTCAGAATCACATTCTGTAATTAGAAATCTTCAAAATTCCAGTAGTAAATGTAATCATGATCGGTTTCTTCTTAAGCCATCACTTTTCTTTAGAGGAAATAATTTTTGCCCCTCCCTGTTACATTTACAGTATCAGCTATATCCCCACTCAGTTTTTCTTTTTATAGACTGATCTAGACAAACTTTGAGCTTGTTTTCTAAGATGCCTCGGGTCTCAGAAAAACTCTTTTCTGTGTGTCTCTCCCAGACTGAATATCTCTCTTGAAAAAGGGTGAGTGAAATTCTGCATAATGTTCCCAAAAACATCACTGCCCTTTCCCCAGCGTGCCAACATCCCTTCTCTTGCTGAAACTCACACCATAGTTTACTGGTGCTGCTTAGAAAACAGATCTTTAGCCTAAAAGCACTGCATTCAGTGACTAGATAAAAGTTACTGTAATTTAGAATACCTCTTTATGGTACAGTATGTTTCAATCTTAAGTGTTAGCCTTATTCTACTTACCAATGTGTGTGATTTTTAAGGGATGTCTTGTAATTATTAGATTCTCTGGAGGCACCAGGCATGGATTGCTGGAACTCTGAAAGCACAGACCAGTCTTTGCACAAAAGACCTTCTATTCTCAGTAAAGATAATCTTACTCTATATTCAGTATGATTTTATTCACACATTCACATCCCCCTACTTAAAATCATCACAGCAGATTTTGGGAAAGGTATGAAATATAAATACAAGCACAGTTGATGTATGCAGTAAATATATCCATATATTTAGAAAAGACCTCTTACATAGTTCATTCCTAGAAAACAAAATGAGTCAGTGATTATCTAAAGCTCTCAAACTTAGAGGCTCCAAGGAAGACTGTTGAAAAATGGGGGAAAAGGAAAATTACACTGGTGGTAGAGGATTTAGAAGGTAGCTTTTAATATATTACTAATTTGTGCAGCTGATACCTTAAGCATCTTAATATTCCAAACTAAGAAACCAAAATATCTTTCCAATTCAACTCCTTAAGAGTGATAAAAACTCAAACATAGGCACAGAAATCTCCTCAACCTGATAATGTTCTCCACGTTGAAACAAAGTTTTAAGTGCACTCAGGGAGGGCAGGTGGAGTGTTGCAAAGATTGCCTGAAGTAAAAAAAAAAGGTGAAAAAAACCTCATGGATCTGCTTCTGGGACACTGGAACAAAGCATTTCTGATAGAGGAAAGGTAGGGGGAAATGATTCGTGATGGCCTAATTACATTAGAAGCAGCTCTTATTCAGCTAGTTGAAGAAAAGAACCCAATGTAAATGGAGGAGAGAACAGAGCTTAGGTCAATCTGATATTTGTTTTCCTGCATGCAGAAAACCATTCCTCATGAAAACTGTTTCCTGCCATTATGCAAAAACTCATCATAAAAATAAATGCCTCAGAGAAGCTGTTGTGTATTATCACTTTCAGCATTGGAGAGCCACTGCTAATACTGACCCTTCAGAAGCCATATAAAGCACACTAGCAGGTATTGTTCCAATGGGAAATGTCCACAAACAGGTATATTTTGGCAAAATACAATGCATTTATGGCTATTGCTTCCCACTGGAAATAATAAAATGCATTTAAGCAGTATACACGCTATCAGCTGTCATTGAATTATATTGCAAGGATGATCTCTAACCCTTAAAACAGTGACTAGGTTTTTTTTTAAAGCAATAGTTTATAAGTTGTAGGACAGTGAAGCTGATGTTTTTCACAATATGCAGATGACCAGCTTCTCAAGGAGACTTGAAATATTATTAACAATTTATGATTATTTCCATGCAGATGCTGAATGACTAATTCCTATCATATTTTTCTGCAGTTGCAGGAGGGAGTGTTTCTGCACCTGTTTCTCTTTTTCTCCTGCAAACCTAATAATCAGTAACATCAGTACTCAGCCAACTATTAAATTTCAGATCTATTAGTATATTTTATGCATTTAAAGACTGCCAAAATGTGAAGTCATATAGCCACAATAAAATACCACAATGATACTAAGAAAAGTGATCACCAAGCATGCAAAGCTTCAAAATCTTGGATTTTGTTGCAATAATCCACTAGATTAAAGCCAATATTGGATATTCATATACAAACTAGAGTACCTCATTAATGCAATAAAGCAAAAGTTTAGAAAAATGTGAGCTGTTTCCACAGATACTTTTAAAAGCTTCAACCTACTTTATTTAGAAATTTATGGAAAACTGGTTAGCTTATATTATTATACAGAGGGTAAGTCATCTTAGCATTTTGAGAACAGAAAGTTCATTTATTCATTAGTCATAAATCTCTATATTTTGTTCACACACCTCTATTGAACTGACTGCCTTGGGTCTGAATGAAATATAATTTGTGTTTTGGCAACACAATTTTTTGAAGGCATCAACAAACAAAATTAAACATTTCAAATAGTTCCAATTCTACCACAACTGCTCTGTCAACCTTCCTAATAGAGTAATAATTATTCATTCACATATTTATAGCCTAAGCATGGCAGTTCAAAGCCTTTATGCACTATTTTCCTCATATATTTCCTGAAAAGAGTGGATTTAAAGTATGTGCATACAAATACATACACATATGTGCATGCATATTCACACACAGTTACTTCACAAAAGGCCGCCCACGTGGTTTGACAAATATAGGTGGATAAATAGGTAGGTAAGGGAGTTGTGATGGCCCAGAAGCATTACTGATCGCTGAGGCCACCCAAAATTTTCCACTGACAGATTTCTTAACGCTTTGCAAAATTCTGAGAGTATCAATGGGAATGTTGTATGTCACATTTCTGTGTTAAAATGCCTCAGCTATTTCAGAAAATATAACTAAGAAAAAAAAGGTGTGTTTACACATAGCAAAAAAAAAAAAAGTAGCCAATTACTTCGCTCATTAAGAAGACCTCAACCAGCCTGCATTGCAGCTGGTACCTAAAATATTCTAAGGAGCATTCCAGAGTGTCAGGAATTTGTGTTATGGTTAGCATAGGCTTGCCAATGTGGTGAAAAGGAATCTCAGTCCATCCCAGTCCCACCAGTTTGATGTCAGTGCCATTAACAGAGCCTGAAGAGGGATCACAGTCAGTAGGGGGTCACCTGAAAACCAGCCAAAAGAATTCCAGAGCCTGCAGCCAGCAGTTAGGTAATGTGGGGCCAGCTTAAACACCTCAGTGAGGAATAAAGAGAACACTATTTTACATTTTGCCATCAACATGGATGGTGAGATTCAGCGCACCCTCAGTGAGTTTGCTGACAGCACCAAGCTGTGCAGTGGAGCTGGCACACTTGAGGGAACGGATGAAATCCAGAGGGGCCTGGACAGGCCTCAGGGGTGGGAGTGGGCCCAAACCTCATGGAGCACAACAAGGCCAGGAGCAAGGTCCAGCATTTGGTTGAGGGCAATCCCAAGCACAAATAAAGGCTGGGCAGAGAATGCATGGAGAACAGCCTTGAGGAGAAGAACTGGAGGACTTCCAGTACCTAAAGGTGACTTACAGGAGAGCTGGAGAGGAACATTTGAGAAGGGCATGTAGTGATAGGACAAGGAAGAACGGTTTTAAATCAGAAGAGCAAAAATTTAGATAAAATACTGGGAATAAATTCTTTGCTGTGAGGGTGGTGAGGCTCAGGTTGTCCAAAGAAGTTATGGATGCCTCATCCCTGGAATTGCTCAGTGCCAGGTAGGATGGGCCTTTGAGCAACCTTGTCTAGTGGAAGGTGTCCCAGACCATGGCAGGGGAGTTAAAACTAGATTATCTTTAAGATCCCTCCCAACCAAAACGGTTCTGTAGTTCTGTGGTTTTTATAAACTTTCAAAGTTGTGCACTTCAAAAGCACTAGTTTCTAAACTAGATCTCACATAGGTTCAATCTCAGTTCAAGTTCTCTTGATCCTAGAGTTTCAAGACTAACACTCCCTCCCTAACTCTTTATGGCAGGTGAAGGGTTTTTAGTGTCTGGCTTCCCAAGAGGGCACTTGGAAGTGGTCTCTTACCAGGAGCAGCAGGTAATGGACCAAGAGGAGCCAGTGGCCAAATAAACATTTAATTTGGGGATTGAACTGATGGGAAAAGTTGGAGATAAAGAGAAGCCATGGCAGGAGCTTTTTAGAAGAGTGAAGCAAAAAAACAGATGAGAAATAGGATGAGTGAAAAAAAATGGGGGGTTTTGCCTGGTCAGAAAATTACTGAGGGGTATGGAAGCCAACGGGCCTTTTTCAGAGAAACACCCTCTGCTCCATGGACATTCCCAGGCTCCTTACATTCTCACACACTCTGTTGGCATCTGTCTCTGCACTGCAGAGCTACTGGTCCAGTCCCAGCAAAATACCCCAACTGGTGGGATGCATGCTTCCATAGGACTTCCCTGTTTTTCAACTAGGGAGTTATATTTAAAATACTCATTAAGATACATCGCTGCAGCGGTTTTACACTATTTAATGCTGTGGTCATGGATAGTTCTGGTAACTCCAGGAATAGAACTACCACCCCCTCACAGAAAATGGATTGTTTGATATTTTTATTAGCTTCACCCTTTGTTCTGTGGAGATGACAGCCAGTTACCTACACTGGCATGACTGGTAGGAAAGCAGGTAGAAGGAAAGCACAGCTGACAGCATCTTGCAAGTCTCTGGTGCTAAATCAGCATCAGTGCCACGTGCCTTCTCCATGAGGACGGGATGTAGATGTAGAGTCGTGACAGTATGTTCTAAGGTGTCCCTGTGGTTCTCCCAGCTTGCTCTGTCAATGTTTCATCTCAGGTTATTAGTATTTATAAAAGCATGCCCTTAAAATAGCTTCATGGTGTTAATAGAAGCAAAAATAGAGGTACTTGTCCTTAAGTTGTTCATAGCGAGGTAAAATAGGGCTAAATTGGGCAAGTACAGAAATCATAATAGCACAACCCAGTTTAAGGGTGACTTTCAAATCCCCTTCATGTCTTAAAAATCACTGACTTTAAGCTAAAATTTAGACCAAAATGTATTTAGGATACATTCCTTCCTGCTTTACAGAAAATCCTTCTGCCTTTAACAGGAGTAAGATTTGGGGTGACTTTTGCTTAAGGACTGCTTAAATCTACTCACTAAGTCTTCCTCTCAGAAGTGGAGCAACCACAAAATTCTCCAACTTCTGAAAACACATTTCAGAAAAATCTTTCAGATTTGCATTTGAAATTTGCAAAAAAGACATGTGGGTTGACCCTGGCTGGACACCAGGTGCCCACCAAAGCTGCCTTGTCGCTTCCCTTCTCAACTAGACAGGGAGAGGAAAGAAAATACTATGGAAGGCTCACGTGCTGAGAGATCACACACCAATCCCCATCACGAGCCAAACCAGCCCCACTTGGGGAAATCATTTTATCACCAATGAAATCAAAGTAGAATAACAAGAAAATAAAATCTAAGTCTTAGAACACCTTCTCACCACCCCTCCCTCCTTCACTCTCATCTATCTCATCCCCTCAGATGTCACAGGAGGACAGGAATGGGGGCTGTGGTCAGGTCATCACTCGTTGTCTCTGCCACTCCTTCCTCCTCAGTGGGAGGACTCTTCATGCTCTCTATTCCAGTGTGGAGTCCCTCCCTTGGGGAACAGTAGGGGCACAACTCTCACCATGATCTGCACCTGGGCTGCCCATGCTCCAGCTCCTGGGGCACCTCCTGCCCCTCCTTCTGGACTCTTCTTGGCATCTGTGGAATGGCTTCTCTCACAGATTCTCACTCCCCTCTTCAGCTGTAGTTTCAGAGAGAGCTGAAAAAAAATTTATTCACCACCTACAGAATATGGAGTGGAGAGCATAAGGGGCATTGCATTTATTTTCCTTATGAAATTATTTCTTAAATAGACATAGCAGTCTGTATGTGTCTATTCCAGGCACAGTGGATCAATGACCTTCTGGCACTAAAACTGATGAACAGCTAGCTGTTCTTCTCTAGACAGTGTTGATCATGTTTCACTGAGAAATCCATGTCTTTTTTTATTTCAAATTCTCTATATGTCCGTAAGTATCCTCTGTGATTATTGCCAGAAGAGCCACAGACAACATTTGAAGTAACGTACTGCATGCTCTAGGACAAGGCAAGGAAATACAGCCTATTACAACAGTGTGTCCAAATTCCAACCTCACTTGATGCTGGAGTTAGCCTCAGTCACATCAGTGAAGTAAAAGCTGAGCTCTGGAGAAAGAAGAGAATAATTAGTTACTTTATCATGCTTTGGCATAATAAAAAAGTAGTTTTACAATTTGATAATCTGAAAAATTTTATCATCAGGTTGTTTGAGACTAATCTTTTTCCTGTAGAAAGCTACTAATTGTCTGGAGTGACTACACAATATTTTTTTTTAAGTAGGCTGGTTTATTATTTGCAATACTTAAAAATTTCTTACAAATGTTCCCTCAGAAAGGAAACAACACACTAACAGAACCAGGACCTTTTCCCATTTTGTCTCCTTTAAAATTTGCAGTTGATTTAGGCAAAAATGTTTGTTTTGCTCATTTCTTATTTGCCAATGCTAAAACAATATCCCATGTAAACTGCAGAGGCTGACAAATTAATTTTTGTGGTTTAGTATCAGGCAAATAAATCTTACCATTACTAATTATTTTTCGACCTTGCATATGAGAATAGGATTAGACTGACTATAACTGACACTGATTATGTGAGACAGGATGTTATTAAATCCCTTTGGGGAGCTTTTGAAAGATCCACCACATTTAGAGCATAGAGCTTTTCTGTCTTAGCTCATTTATGGAGCAATTACATGCGACTTACTACAAAAATGATGTCAGGGAAAACACTGAACAAACAGCTAAAGTGGAATTTACACCACTCCCATCTCTGTCAAAACATCTCACAGCCTCACAGCCTTAAAATATTTTGTCAAGGTTACCTATAGCAAAGCCATTTGCTCTATATCAGTAAAAGGCATGAGATAGATTAAAGATTACATGGAGGAGAACTTGTAATGGTATGAAGGCAACAGAAATTTCTCATTGCTCAAATGGCTTCTTTGCACCAGGAGCCCAAACTTAATTAATTTTGCAGGCTTGAAAAGCCTAATGTTTTCATTTAAGTTATCTCAGAATTTTCAAGTTTTGTTATTTCATTAGAACACTTCTATAGAGGGTTTCTTAGTGAAGTGCAGAGAAATAGGCAAAATTTACTGACTTGAAAAACCTCTGCCCATTCTGGAAAAACCTGTGGCTAAATTTCTTGTTTTGTTGGGGTTTTTTTCAAAATTAAGATTGTTCAGGTGATTTTTAGGAGTAGTTTACTGTTTTGTTCCTAAAAGTATGCAAGTACAAAATGGAAAGCCAGGTGAAGACCATTTCCATAACTATGTTTCTACAACTGACTGCTTTCCTAATATCCATATTTGAGAATGAAAATGCACAGTGGAACACTACAGAACTGTGTGTATTAAACATGTACTCACCTATTGATTATGACATTTGCAGTTTGAGAATGTCAAAAACGCTGTTAAAAATGCATAATCCAAAGTCATGCTGACAGTTCACTGAAGAACCAACAGTACCAAGATGTTTTACTGCAAAGACTGATTCTCACCCTCAGTTTAATTTCAAAGTTTATATTGCTGTAAATTCATGTGATTACAACACTTAATACTTGGGAACTCACATTTTTTTATGTCACATTTTTCTGTGTGTCTTCACGTACTAAATCCAGTCCAGTATGGAAGAAGTTAAAAGATACTTAAATGTTTTTTCCTTAGGTACAACTGGGTGGTATAAATAAAGTAAAATGCTGGAATTCACTTACAGCTTTTCCTCAGGGTGGTCTCAAAGACCATCACCTGGCTGCCAGTAGTCCTTGTCGTGAAGCCAAAGCCAGGGCAGACAGAGCAGTGGCAAGAGCCCCAGCAGGGTTATCCTTTCCCATAAACACTGAGATTCTCTGCTGCTTTCTGTAGCAATCCTGAAATTTGTCACGTATGTAAAGATGTGTTCATGGCCCAGAAGGTTCCTACTTTGCAGTAGAAAACACCTGTAATTGATGGTGAATACTGGAGGGTAGGATTTTCTTCATGTTTAGTGATCACTGACCACTACCAGAAAAGTTTATGCAAAGATTCTGGTTCATAAATATAGGTACGCTTGTGTGAGGAAAACCAGGGTTTTTTTTGAGTTTGTCCTTACAGGAATGTTATGTTTTATTTCTGATATTGCAAAGGAATAAAGCAATACTGTATGAGGTGTTACGCATGGTCAAATATTGTAGTCCTTACTCAGAATTTACTCAGGAAAAACCACCTTTGACTTCAGTGAGGATTTGCTTGACTATGGACTGCACAGACTGTTTTTAATCTTACCTGTTGCTAATGCTGGGCAACAGTTCTCATTGCTAATTTGCCTGCCTCGTCCTTCTCCTGGGCTCAGGATCTGCTTTTGCTGTGTGTAATTCATAGCTTCTATTGCTAGTTCAGATTGCTTCTCTTTGTGCTTTTCTTTCCCAGCAAACATTTTGCAGCTATTGTTCTGCTGCTGGTAGATGAGCACAGAACCTGGTATACAGGACTTGAACCTCAGCCCAGATTCAATTAACACTGTTAAACATGTTCTCACTATGGTGCTCAGAAGGAATTTTGATGACCCTCTTTCAATGAAGCATAAATTTGTTTAAGCTGATGTTTTTGGAATGCAAAAATATAAGGGCTTGCTTCACAAATCTTAAGACTAAATGCTTCTGCAGTAAAATAGGTGGAGTAGCACCCATCTAGAACCATCACAAGATCAATTGTAAATGCTTATTCTGCTTTACAAAAGTCAGACAAGAAAGTTAGTAAATGTGTGTGCTGTAGCATCACTCTGTTTTATAGTTTTAGAACTGCTTTAAAGATATCCTGAATAATAATTAGTACCAAATTATGCCATAGCCTTCTAATATGAATCAAATCTAGCTAGGTTATCACTCGTATGTCTTATGAGCCATACCTAGCCATGGTTTATCCTCTATTCATGCTACAGGGTACGAAATTCCTGGGTGCCAACCTGCCTATGGCAACCTAGAATTCTCCAGGGCAGGCTCGCAAAATCTTCACCTACTCTCTGGGACAGGTAACTAATAAGTGATGTTTTGTGAAGTTATGCTTTCTTTCTAACTTTCTGATGTCCGTAAAAATGTTTCATTTCTTCATGTTAGTCTGTGGTGTCTCATTGCTCTGTTCCACTTTGTTTTCTGGACTAGGGGAGTAACAGCAGATCTGTTTGTTATAGCACTCTAGATGCTTGCCTCAACCAAGCCTGTAATAATTGTTATTGACATGCATAAAAACTGAAAGTTGTTTAAGAAGCTGCAAAATTCACAGCTGCCTACTACCAGTTAATCTCTTTTTCTGATGGAATAGTTTGACAATACAGGTGCATTACATTTCACTGTTGGTTATCTGGGCAGTTCACCCACCTTTCCTAATTGCTAGTGTGTATGTATATATATATTCTCTTTCCTTTATCAGGTTTATACTAATCTTGAGTCTCCTGAACTAAGGATTTTTCAGTGTTATAGGTGCAGAATACTGAAAGGATGGGAGAGTTATGACTGATTCTGGTTTACATTTCTATGCAGCATGTAGTATAAGTTTAAGTAATGACTCAGTTTTCTATATTTTGCTTAAATTCTCTTCTCCTTTTCTCCTGAATGCACTGTCTATTCTTTTTTTCTTGACTTTATGTCAAGTGGCAGGTATGTAGAAGAAATGTCATTCACTAATCCTATACCTTTCAATGACATATGAAATACTGTAATATATTTCAAAGAAAGTAATTAGGTTAAAAAATAATGATAGACTAAGCTTCAGATTGGTTCCTGCAGTCTATTGATTTTCTCTGAATAAGAGATTATGTGAGAAATTTCATCTTAAGAGTGCTGATAGTGTAAGAAAGACATAAGTGAGATTCTTTTTGATTTTTTTCACATGGTTTATATACTCTGTGGAGTGAAGAAAGCCCAGCAATCTTGGAAAAGTGGTTTGAATTCCTGCTTTTCAGGCCCCTGGGATTCTGCAGGTACACTCTACTCTTACCTGGGTTTAGAAGATCTTGATGCAAAAAGAGCTTTGCTCTGCTGCTTGTTCTTGCTCACATCAAGAGATGACCAGTGAAGTGAAGCCTAATCCAGTCATATAAAACTCTTTCACAAAATGTTTGACCATACTTTGGTCCATACTATTCCAACTTTGTTGAATATTTGGAAGTCCTTTAAAATCGGAACAAATTCACACATCCATGCTGTAATCACTGAGTTTGACCTTGCATTCTGTTTTAAAATGGATGTCCACATGGAATTTATGAGTCTTGGGATGATACTTAGTCATCTTTCTATAAGGCTCACTAAAAATATGGGTTTTTTTCCTACCACCATTGTCTACTTGTAGTTATTACTTATGAAATAAAAAAAGCTTACTTTCGTAGAGGACAATACCACAGTTTATCTCCAAGTGCACTGCAACTTAAAATGCACAAATCCAAGATTTTAGCTCAGCCTATTCAACCATTTCATAAAAAATAAAAATAAACAGCCATTGAAATGTAATTTTCATTTTCTTACCTGCTTTTTGAAAAGCTCACAAGGATCTAAATTTTTAGAGAAATTTTTATATTTCCTGAAAACTGGCTTGTTTCTTTCCTGTTGAGTAACTCAGACCTTAATCTCACTGCTTCAACATATCTAGACTGCCAAACAATATCTGGAAACTTGCTTTCTAGTTATATGGAAAAATACTACCTTGCTGAAGGAACTAATAAAAAACCCAAAAGTTTGTTTGGTAGAATGAAAAATAGTGAGTATGACAAGTGTCAGTGTTTACAAAATGAGGATAGGTTGTATTTTATCCAGCCTGATGCACTTTAACCTTTGACAGCTAATAAGTCAGTAACAGTATCAGCAAGAGAGTTCTAGTAAAACCTAAGTTTTCATTAACCCAGAATGCTAAAGTAGTTCAGTTATAATGTGCCAAAAAAAAAAAAATAAGAAAATAGGAAAAAAGATGGCCTGTGTTTATGTAATCCACATCTCAAGGCACAAGAGGCATTTTTGGGGAAGTCTGGAGAAATGAATCTGCTTCCTCCCTCTGTACAGTTCCTTGGGGTGCTACATCCACAGGGGAGGTGGAATCAAAGGGCTCCTGCATCCCCTCTGCAGGAGCACGTTGTGCATCGCTTTTCACATGAATAGTGTGAGCAGCTTTTCAGATGAACACCTGCTGCCTGACCTGGTCCCTCCAAATCTGCAGAGAGCTCCTTCATTTGCTGGCTCGCTCCAAAAAACTACCCAAGGGCCTGTGTCAAGGTGCAGGACTGGTAACAAGGGTTTGGAGGAATGCAGTCCTGTTCCCTCTCCTTTCCCATACAGCCACAAAAAATAAGGTGACAAAACAGAGTCTTTACACTGAAAAACCAGTGCAGCCAGGGGAGCAGGATAAAATACTGAACTAATAAATTATGACATTCAGCTGGTAGGAAAGTTGTGTGAAATGACAGCACAACATGCTGAGCCATGGGGAACTTGCTAGAGGTGGACTCATTTATACTCTGGCAGAGTAGAAGACTTCTCAGTTAACAAGTCCCAAAATAGTGTGCTGCAGTGTATAAAACAAGGTAGGGCTTGAAATAATTAGCCACAGATGACAGATGGCAACTCCTTTCTTTTTTTTTTTCCCTTTTCTTTTGCTGTAATATCAAGTTGATCAAAGAGCTGAGGATCATTTGTTATTGTAGAAAAACTAAAAATATCTTGAAATATTCAGGAAGAATAAGTTCATTCAGGTACGAGCCAGTAGCTCTCATTGTTCCTGTTCAACACCTTATACATGAGTCTGTGTGTAGTAATAGTTTCTCTCAGAATCTGAATTACATGTGCACAGCTGAGAATTTGGGTGTGTCCTGGCTTAGGAGTATTATTTAATAAATTTATTAAATCAAATTGTTAAGTTATTTAATGTAATTGTTTACTTGTGTTAACAAATCAGTGATCTACTCTACTGCCAGAAAGCCTTCCAGAAAGTGCCCAGAGCTCACCTCTCTGGCAGGTCACTTGAGCAATATCACAATGTGTGAGGGGAACCAAGTGCTAAAGAACAGAGTCTGCAGCAGAAGTGAGTGAACCCAGCACCTCTGGAGCTGTCTGAAGGGACAGTGCTGTGCCTCACTCTAGGCAAGAGCAGCATTTCCTCCTGGGCTCTTTAGGAGAAACATCTGGGCCAGCATGAGCACGTTTTTAAAGGCAAGCACCTTGAATCCATATTCAAGTTAAACATGCAACAGAAGCTTCTGTCTTGCATGACTTCTGTCACAAAAGAGGCTCAGAAAACAACGGTAGCAGACATAGTTAAAAGGAAAATTCAGTCATTTGCTCAAATAATATAATCTACACTGCCTATAAAGGAAAGAAGCACCTGCAGTTCCTCCCCTACCCCCAGTCCCAGCAGTGATTCTGTCTGACTGGTTCTTGAGCCAGAAGAGTATATTTGATGTTTTCAGCTGCTTAGCATAACCTTTCTGATAAAAGTGTTAAGCCAACCCACCTAAATGAGTCCCTTGAGGAAGACAAAGATGAATTTCAAATCAGAGGAATGAGAAAAGGATTGGGAAAGAAAGGACATGGTTATGATGAGAACAGAGATTATAACCTGTATCCATTAACCTTTGTCTGGATGTTTTATACCAAATAAAATAGGAACAAAATTCTATCCCCTATCTATCCACATTTATTCTATCTAAATGTGCTAAAGCACATTTCTCCAGTATTCCCTTACCACACTTCCAGCTTCAGTCCTTTAATAGAAAGAGTGAGATCAATATCAGATTGCTTCTGGGCAGTGGGCTTCATTCTCACCCATTCTCATTGCATTCCTATTACACATAAAACTGCACAATTCAGGAGGAGCCACACTTCTGTTCCAGCACAGCTTGATCCAGATGAATCAGGGAAATAAACAGACAAAAACAAAAGTGAGAAAGCTTTAATAACACAATTAAAACATAACTTTATAAGCTTGTGAGCTGATGTGGCAGGCTGCTCTCAGTAATTTCCAGAGGGAGTGCTTATCCGTGACTACAAACCAAAGCAATCTAGAAGCTGGCCACTCGAAGCTGTATGGAGAGCTACTGCAATTGAAGGCAGCCTGCTTAATCACCTGGAGAGCTCTCTTTAGCTTTCTAATCACAAATTGAAGTCTACCTCTAATTTTGCTTCCTCAATTTTTCAATACCTTACTATTATTTTCCCCTTTCTTATCACCCCTCAGTAGTCTGGATTCCCTAGTGAGATGCAATGCAGACGGGTAGGATTTTGACAGGCATTAAAAAGCAGACTACAACTGCTCAACAACTTCAAATAACTTTCTGACTGAGGAAACTTCCCCAGTGGCCTGTGTTACATCATATTTGTTTCAGTCAGCCTTTGCTGCTGGTTTTCTTACCCTTTAGAATCCTGCAACTTTACACTGTAACTCACCAGTTCTGCTAGCCAAATATTTAATGCAAACCTATCAGCCTCTGGGAAGCCTGGAAATAGCAGCTCTTACGGGGGGAACCTTCTTCCAGAGTCATGCCAAGAGCAGAGCGTGGAAAGAAAGCAGTGCAGATCCCTTCATCCCTAGGAAGGGTCAGCATCATTATGATTCTGCTCTCTTGGACAAATGCTGTCTGAAGGTTGCCACACCAGAAGTTTCCTCCCTTCTCTCCCAGTTTAACCAGCTGATTAATTTCAGATGTGTTCCAAGCACTAGGCAACATTTGAACAGTGCAGAAAATACGAAGCAGGGCATGAACATGAAAAGAGTCCTTCATTACGGTAAGAAAGTAAACACATCTTTCCTACCTCTAGGGAATGAGCCAGAAAGCAATATTCCTCTTGGAATCACATGCTGGTTTTCTTCTCTTGGAACCATATTTTCCAGCTCTCCATCCCTTCATTTTCTAGCAATACAGAGAAACAAATTGAACAGGCACAGTCCTTTTTCAAACTTCTGTAGGATGACTTACTGAGCCTAAAGGTTTACGTTTAAGCCACTGCTACTAAGAGTCTACTTACCAGAGCTGAAAACAATTAGTTCCCA